TACACATATTAATCACGCCTAGATGACAGCAAAATAAAATCTTAAAAACATTTTTATTTTGGATACTTCCCATACAAGTAAATGGAGGATGATTTTTTTTTACCCCTCTATTGCATCATGTGGGATATCGTTGGATAGTCTTTCAAAAACACTGGGGGTGTGGAAAAACATTTTTCCCATTCAAGGGTCCAAGCTTTACCGTAGTATTTTTTATTAGAGTCATGTGTCCTCTACCAAACCCCTCTACAAACTAAATCGCTGTTTTTGGAATTGTGAAAAGTATACATGATAGTAGTATATTATATAATGAAGTTAAAAGGAAAAACTATCATAGCTAAGTAGAGTTCCTAAACTTCTTAAAGTTAACGAGTAATAGTCGACCAACTTATAAAATGCACTTGAATTAGTAAAAATTTCGTTACAACTCCATAGAAAATGACCTAGAACCAGCTGCATTATAACTTTGTAACGTTATTAAAAATAAACATTTTATAAAGAAAAAGATTTATATGCATTACTACTATAGCTTTAATTTTTCATTTGCGGGATAGGCAGAAAGGATCTTTCTTACTTACTTACTACTTTCACTTATTTTTAGTTTGTAGTTATTGTAGGCCTCATTCAAAGTATTCATACAATCATAATATAGTCTTATACAGTTTCATTCGTCACACTCTTGGTTTATGCCTATGACCTCAGGATAATTTAGGGCAGTGGTAGTTTACGTGAAGGTACATTACGGTCATATATGTATATTTTAGGGTTGCACTGCCGGGATGTGAATTATTTGATGCAAGTAGTTGTATTATTTTCAAAATCGAAAAGTTTTTTAGTTTTTTTGAATACCACTTCCTATAATACTGATTTGAAAATCAGTCCTTCACCTTACGATCTTCCTATTTGGGCCCATTTTAGTCGTTATATCGGTCAAACCGCGAAATCACTTATTATGCGTATTATCAAGAAAGCCCACGTATTGTGACGGGCAACTACGGAACCCTACCTTTACATTGTGTGTGGCACGACACGCACTTGGTCTGTATTTTAATCATTAAATTGCCTCCTTTTTATCCCACAATTTTGTTTATGAAAACTATTTTATCAGAGCGATACTTCTTTAAATGCCCCAATTTAAAAAAAAAATTAGGTTGTAAATTAAGGAAGTTTGCGATGAATTTTACTGAATTCTATAAATTAAGCACCTTTACTTTGAAATAAAAATCTTGACGATTAAGGTCCATTACAAAGTGAATGACGTTCCGCTATACCTACATACCTTATTTTATTCCTATTTACTTTTATCTCGAACCCACATTGTAATACGATGGAAAGACAGATGCGGACAAGTAATTCCACTCTTTTACTGCACACATGACAAATTACGAAAACGTTTTTCTATACAGATGTTTTAATAATTGCATACGCTGCCATCCATTGACACCCGACAAGTGGGAACAGGCTCTAAAAAGGGTCTCCGGTTCTCTATGCTCACCATACGAAACACAGCAGCATTAACCTACTATTTCACGCCGAATATACTTACAGCAAGTCTGTATCACGTGTAATTAGATACGTAGCATACGCTACTTTTATATGAGAGTTACATAACTGTACGTACTATAGATTAATTTCATTTTGTAAAAGCGATTGTCTGGCTCTCATAGAATTCAACAGAAATATAATGGTACACTAATCCGATTATATCAGTTCAATTATGTTCAGGTACTGTTGAGCCCGCTTTTCAGAATTCGAATTTACTCTCGAAATTTATTAAAATTAAGCTATATTGTACATACGATGAAGTCCTTGAAAATCCTTTACATGCGTAGCAACATGAAATTAAACGAGGCGAGATTTTTATAACAAACAGAATATTATCATTTCTTAACTAAAATTTAATTAAAATTTACTAAAACCATATGAATGCTATGAGTTTGTTTGTTTTTTGAATATGTTGGCTATGATAATTATCTTAAATCTAAATGGCGCCACATTGATATATCTTACTCATGTGAACCCGGAGCGGGCTCTATTTATACAACGTTTTAAATATTTTAGCGATATTCGAAATATACAATCTATAGCAAAACTCCACGCAGTTGAACTAAACGGTAAATCGTTTCGTCTTTTGGAACACCTTTAGTAAGATAATAAAATATAATTTGCAATAACGTTTTGATTTGAAAAAAAAATTACAATCTGGGTCTTTAATTCAAAACGGTGCGGCTTACCATTTAGTGCTTTATCACCATTTACCACCTGGCAGGATTGTATAGTAAAGCAATAACTTATAATAAATAAAAAATAAGGTCAACGCTACGTTCTTTAGATATATATTTTATAAAAAAAAAGATTGACAAAGGGGCACCTAATGTCACATAGTCCACCTGATGGTAAGTGGCCTATAGACATCTATATCTATCATCGATTATGAACCAAAGGCAGGTGCGTTGTCATCCCTGAGCACTAAAATGAAATGCCTCGTTCCCAGTTAAAATGTCTCCGGTTCCATACACTCACATTACAAAATATAGCAGCGTTAAGCTGCCACTTCATGCTGGTATTCTGTAAGAGCTTGATCCTTCCCCGGTCGAGTCGACCCATTCTTATTACAACCATAATATAACTGCAGTGTGGCTCTACCATGTTTAAAAATATTTCAGGGAAATATAGCAGTGATTTTATATGGAAGTGGCTTTAAACTTCCTGTACTTAATGACGTTAAATAAGCGGACGAGTTAGTAACGAAATTATCAGGAGAACGGAAGTGTAGCGTGTTGTACGGTCGCTAGTTAAACTGAAATGGTTATGTACTTATTTCTAAGCTTATAACTACCAGTAAATATAATAAATTACTATAAAATAAATTCGCCAGTACGTCCTATAACATTTATATTGTATGTACAAAGGCACATCATTACTTATGTCGTAGTGCAATAGTATTTAATGTCTTTCAAAGTACCTAGTCATCACCACAAAATATACACTTTTCCATACGAACGAGATACTCATCGAAGTCAAGGTCAAAGACAATTTTTTTATTAAAAATTGGCTTTTACAAAGCACGTTTTGAAAGTCAAATGCTACGCCATCGCTTCTACAAGTCTCAACTGCGTCCTTGTGACAAGATTTTTTTTTATAGGATAAGGGTGACAAACGAGCACACAGTCCACCTGATGGTAAGTGGTTGCTGCGGCCCATAGACTTCTACATCTATCCTCCATTACAAATCAAAATGTAGATGCGTTGTCACCCGTGAGGACTAAGATGGAATGCCTCATTTCCAGTAAAAAGGGCCTCCGGCCACCTGCACTCACCAAGCGAAACGCAGATGTAAACCTCTACTTCACGCTGGTTTTCTGTGAGGTCGTGGTACCACCCCGGTTCGAGCCGGCCCATCCGTGCGACAGCAAAAGCTGCCGCGTGGCTCTACCACTGATAAAGATTTATGGCATCAAATATTTCTTATAGAACCGCAGACGCCGTTCCACGCAACTATTAAATCCTCATCAGACCTATTTGTATTGATCATTTAATTTAAGTTTCGCATAGGGAAAGAAACCAAAGTCACAATTTAAAAGATGGTAGGACTCCTTTACCATCTAGAAGACTAAGTAGGTAGCACTCTCTTACCGACTTCTACCGCCCAATAGCAGAACTGCTGTGTTCTTGTTTAAAGTGAGTACAATTACAGGACGTGAGGCATTCCATCTGAACCCTCAGAAGTGACTATGCAACTATAGTTTTCTTTGTTTCAAGTTCGTTCCAGGTGTCCGCGGGCTGCAGAAGCCACTTATCATCAGGCGGACTGTAAGTTCAATTGTCGCTTCAGCTTTAAAAAAAATATAATGCTAAATCATGTCTGTAAGGTTTAGTCTTGTCAATGATTCCTCTAAATAACTATGAGATTGCAGATCTATGCAGGTTACCACAAACACGTAAGTAGCTTTAGAGGCAACGTTTTTAAAACGGATCATTTGCAATAAAAATTCTTCTATGAACCAACGAGTTTATTTAAAAATTGCCACTAAGCCTCTATTTTTGAAAAAAGCGTTCTTTTTCTAAAAGAATGTGATTCTATTACATGCATCGACGGATCTTAGTTTTCGAACACCCATATCTTATTATAAAATATTGTCGTAAAAACAAAAAAAAGTTTCACCACTTGTAACGATTAAAAGTACAATGTTACCTTTGCCAGTAGTGAGTCCGTTAAACATTTTTTTGCACTGCTGTACTCTCATCACGCACAGCTTTTCTGTTGGTTCATGGGGTTAAAGAAAATAAATTATTGTTACGTGTAAACATTCCGCCTGTGGCACCGCTCTCGAGCGGTCGTGTCCAGGTAGTCCGCGCATCCGTCCCCGTACGGTAGTGCTCTCTCGCTCTCGCGCCTCCGCTGTCCTGCTCGCGCTTACAGCGTCGACGCCTTGGTGAGTCATTTTACGCTAACTCCAGTTATTACCTCCCTGTCTCCGGGCGGGGCGGTTTGACTGTTGGTCTTGCTTGTTATTGTTATTTTTATTGTTAATTCTTTTGTTAACTATTTCTAATTTTGTTTTCGTTATTTATTTGTATAACGTGTACGTGTATATACTGTTTCTAGGGAGTTACTTGCTCTTTTCAGAGCAAGGCCCTGCTCTTTTGAGAGCAGGGGCACTTACTCCTAGAATTAAGAACGTCCCGTTCTTCTCAGAACGGTGATCCCGCCCTTACTGTTTAGGTATATAACGTCTCTGTTCTTTTCAGAACAGCACCCACTAGCCCCTTCCGTATCAAATACGTTTCGTAAAACTACTGCCCTCAACATGTCCACAATTACCCAAATTAAGTCCCTCGTCGCCGCCCTAAACCAAACTCTTGGTCTGGGCCTAAACCTCGATGAGACGGCCCTTGCCGCCATCGCCGCCCATGTTACTCCCCCTGCCCGTCAGGCACTCCAACCGCCGCCCGTACTTGCGGCCTACCTAGAGACAAAGAACTCTTTCGCCCCATTAGAAATGGAGTACGCATGCTCCGAGTCCTCTGCATCGGCCTCCCGGAAGAGGCCCGCCACCAATTCTGGCACCGGCTCATCGGAGTCCTGTGACTCCGACGGAACCGGGGATTCTTCGTTCACCACGGTGAACTCCAAGCGCAACGGTAAACGCGCCGCTAAAAACCGCACCCTCCCTGTCTCAGCGGCCCCTGCCGCTCCTTCAACCTCCGCAGCTCCCGCTGCCGCCTCTGCCCCCGCAGCCCCCGCCGCTGCCTCAGCCCCACTTATGTCACTAGACATTCCCGCTCCGACCAAGCCAGCCTCTCGCTGTGCTCCAGTCCTTGCCAAGAAGCAAGTCCCGCCCCCTGTCTTCCTAAGAGACAAGGCTAAATTCACAGAACTCTCCAAAACCTGCTACAACGCAGGCATAAAATATGACCACGCCATCAACCTCGGGGAGGCTATTAAGATCATCCCCCAATCAATCGACGACTTCCGGCGACTCACCAGGCTATTCACAGCCGAACGAGTTTCTTATCATACATACGCTCTTCCGGAAGAGCGCAAAGTCAAGGCCGTCATCCGCGGCGTCCCCTTCGAATTTTCAAACGAAGAAATCCTTGAGGACCTTAAGTCCCAAGGTTTCCCCGTAGAAGCCGTGCACAAAATGCACAGTAGAACAGGCCAGAGGTTCTCTCTTGCCCTAGTAATTTTAACCAACGTACCGGAGGCGAAAGCCATCTTCCGGCAGGTACGCACAGTGTGCGGCCTGTCGAGAGTGAGGGTTGAGCCTCCACATAGGCGCGGGTTCCCGGCGCAGTGCCACCGCTGCCAGCTGTATGGTCATGCGGCGGCCAACTGCTCCGCCCCACCCAGGTGCGTTAAGTGCCTTGAACCCCACAACACTAAAGAGTGTCCTCGGCCCAAAGACGCCGAATCCCCACCCGCGTGTGTCCTGTGTAAACAAACGGGCCACCCGGCTAACTACAGAGGCTGCCCTTGCGCACCTCATCCTCGCCCCAGTAGGCAAGCTCCACCGCCGGTCAATGACCGCTCATTCCCAGCTCTTTACCAACGGATGCCCCGTCAGGGCCTTTCTCAGCCCACCCAGGGCTTCTCTCGGCCTTCTCAGGGTCCCCCTAGGCCCCCTCAGGGACCTCTACGGCCCCCTCCGGGCTTCTCTCAGCCTATGCAGCCTCCAGTCTTTCCCTGGGGCCCCAAAAAGGCAGTACCACCGCGGACATCCTCCGCCCCTCAACCACAACAATCACAGCCCTCAATGGCTGATGACCTAAAAACGGTGTATTCCGCAATTAGGAACATCAACGTTGAGGAAATCGCTGTGTTAGCACGCAAATTGCGCTCTGCGAGGTCCCCTCAGGACCGTCTCCTCGCTCTTGCAGAGCATCATAATCTTTTGTGCTCATTGTAAGTTAAGTTAACTTAATTAACTTAACTCACAATGACAGAGCAGTTTGCTCTACCAAAATCCCACGGTCGTATCAAACCTAAGGGATTATCGCTTGTATCCTTTAACATTCGCGGTTTGCGAAATAACCTCCCAGAGCTTAAGCTCTTTCTTCAAAATCGTGAAACCGATTTCCTCCTCCTACAGGAAACTAATCTCAATACTAAGGACACTAAAGGCCTTTCCATCAAAAACTTCACTCTTCTTCGTAATGATAGACCCGACCGCCGAGGCGGCGGTACGGCCATTTATTACAAGAAGACACTCCACTGTTCTCCCATTTCTACTCCGCAACTTTCCAACATGGAAGCCACGGTATGCAGGCTAGCTATGACTGGACATCAGTCCATCTTCATAGCCTCCTGTTACATCCCTTCTAAAACCCTTCCCCTCAAAAAAGATTTTGAGGCTATTTTATCTCTAGGCAATTCAGTCATTATGTTTGGAGATTTTAACTCCAAGCATACTGAATGGACATGCCGTACTACCACCCGTAGTGGCAAGTTACTGCTCGATATCACGCAGTCTCTTGATATTACCGTCCACAGTCCTCTCGGTGTTACTCACTTTCCCGATAACACCGACTATGCCCCCGATGTACTAGATTTTGCGTTACTCAAAGGAGTTTCTCTCAACCTTAGGGCAATCGAGACACTAGACGATCTAGGATCCGACCACCGGCCGGTCTCTCTCATTCTTGGCCATCAGCCACCACTCCCAACACCCTCTACTAAAACCTTCACAAATTGGAAGGGCTTCAAGGAGTCCCTAGCGAAAGCTCTGGACTCACAGGACTCCCCCATCTCCCTATCTTCGGACTTAGACAGTCCTGAAAAAATCGACACCGCGGTCGATTCACTCTCCACCCTTATTAAAACCTCCCTTAAGGAGAATGAAAGGGTCGTCCCGGTTGCTAATAATAGTGGGCTTCCCCTGCATATTAGCAACCTATTAAAAGCCAAAAAAGCTGCTTTCCGGAGAGCAGCAAAATATCCCACGCCCGAATATAGGCGCACGGCCAATCGTCTTCAACGAGAACTCCGTTTCCGCCTCTCTGAATTTCGAGACCTCGAAAAGAGTAAGCTCATGGAGAATATCTCTCCCTCTCATACAGCGTACTATCAGATGGCAAGAGCCCTCCGCATAGACGCTATCTTCCACACTCCCCCTCTCTCCCGTCCCGACGGTACGGTAGCCTTCGAGGACGAGGAAAAGGCTGAGTGCTTTGCAGACAGCATTGCCGCTCAATGCTCTCCTAGCTCTCAACCCGTAGACCCCTCACACGTCCAGGCAGTGGAGGATGAGGTCCGCCGCCGGAACTCGCCCCCTACAGCCACCGAACCTATCTCTGTGTCCAATGATGAGCTTTCATCCCTCATCAAAGGACTTAAGCCTAAAAAGGCTCCGGGCGCGGATGGCATCTCCAACCAAGCCCTAAAAAACTTTCCTGAGCAGGTGCTAACCCTTTTATCTATTATCTTCAATGCCTGCTTCAACCTTAGTTACTTTCCCACTACGTGGAAAGAGGCAACTGTGATTGGTATTCCCAAGCCAGTCAAGCCTCTTAATCTCCCCTCCAGTCATCGTCCCATTAGCCTCCTCAAGGCCATGGGCAAGCTCTTTGAAAGAGTCATTCAAAATCGCATGAGGCGCCATCTGTTTCCCACAGACGGTGACCCTCTTATCATTCCCCATCAATTCGGTTTCCGAGCGAAACACTCCTGCCCCCAACAAGTTCACCGTATTGTGGAATATATCCTCAGCGGTTTTTATCCCCGTCGTCATAAGACTATCGCGGTCTTTTTCGACATCGCCAAAGCCTTCGATAGAGTCTGGCATACAGGCCTTATCTACAAACTATACAAAATAGGTCTCCCCGATCGTCTAGTACGTCTCGTGGCCTCTTATCTTAATCATCGTACCTTTCGTTTTAGACACGAAGGCACGCTATCTTCACAGCGCCCCATCAAAGCTGGTGTCCCTCAGGGCTCAGTTCTTGCTCCTCTGCTGTACATACTGTTCACCAACGACATTCCCATTCCGCCGAAAGGTGTTCAGCTCTCCCTCTTCGCAGACGACACTGCTCTCTACTGCAAAGGTATCTCGCTACCTTTCATACGGAACAAGGTCCAAAAGTCAGTTGATGACCTAGGAGCTTGGTTCAAAAAATGGCGCATCGATGTGAACCCGGAGAAGAGCTCCGCCGTTCACTTCGATTATAAACGACGCCGTCTCAAAAACACTCCACCAATACGTATGCTAGGGACCCCTGTCCCCTGGCATACGTCTGCCAAATATTTAGGTGTCACTCTAGACACAGGGCTAACTTTCAGGCCCCACGTCAAAAGAGTAACCCGTCACGCACGTTTTTACCTGAATAGGCTCAACAGTATGTTGGGCCGACACAGTAAAATGTCCCTCAGAAACAAGCGTACCCTTTATAAGGTCTGTATACGACCAGTCATGTCCTACGCGGGCCCCATTTTCGCCCACTCTAACCCTAAAATTATTAATGAACTCCAAGTAGTTCAAAACCTTTTCTGTCGTCGAGCTGCGAACGCACCTTGGTACGTCCGCAATGCCGACCTTCATCGGGACCTAGAGCTCCCTACAATTCAACAATTCCTTAAAAAACTCTCTGAGAACTTCTTCAAAGCCTCAGAGTCGCATTCCAATCATTTTATTCGTGAGGCTGCTAATTATGCAGCCCCACTCCCCTCCCGCTATAGCGTCCGCAGGCCGAGGAACTCCCTCTCGGACCCGCCTAATAAACTTTCAAACGACCTGAACTGCCTCCTGGCGGCTCAGGCCAACTCTAATTAAGTTATTCATAATTAATTTGCCTTCCCAGGCACTCCCTCAGCGGCTTATAGCCGCCTGCGCCCTCTTTTCCCAAAAGAGGGTCGCTTTACGATACGGCATGTGAAGCTTTCAACAGCTGGTTGCCAGTCCCCAAAGGCAGTTTTTAGAGGGTATCACTTAGGTTCCCCCTTGTAGGTAGTGAGTCCCTCATAACCACGATGGACCGGCCATCGTGGTATGCGTAATGCATTTTCTGCCTCCCTTCGGGGTAGCCCTTTTCCAATTGCTTCGGGCGCAAAAAAAAAAAAAAAGTTACGTGTAAATGATTCTTTAAAATTATGACAATACTGCAAATATATAATATCTCTGTTAAACTAATGTTGAACCGAGGTTTGAGTAAATTGTTGGTTGCAACTCATGGAGTTTTTTTTTTTATAGGAGAGGGGACAAACGAGCATGCGGCTCACTTGATGGTGACTACCGCCGCCTATAAACAACTGCAACACAAGTGGAATTGCAGATGCGTTGCCGGCCTTTTAATGAATAGACTCATTTCTTGAAGGTCCCTAAGTCGTAACGGTCCGAAAAAATCGCTGGTGGTAATCGATTCCATAAGGAAGTTGTGCGAGAGAGAAAACTTCTAAATCGCACAGTGGTGGACAGCCAATCATCCAGATGGTATGGATGGTATCAATATGGATGGTATGGTAGTTCAATGTTTTTTGATCTAGGAACGTCCTGAAGACAACACGCCACGTTGAAACTATAAACTTTGCAGATTTATTTGCAATATAAAATTTGGAATCAGAAACATGACTACTGATCCAATAATAAATACGAGGGCTACAATTCGGTGGATAATTCATTTGATATTTACCGGAAAGTTACATAGGCTTTTACTTTTTTCCTCTTCCTCTTTCCTCTTTTTTTAAAAACGTTACCCCCACACTAGGATTTTCTCCTGTGTCGTAGAGGCAGTTTACAAACATAAATTGCACGAGGACAAACATCCAGACCCGGAAAAATTATTTGTAGGCCGTACAAATTCTTGTTTCGTGCGGGATTCAAACCCGCGGCCCCCAGCGCAACAACTCATTGCTAAGCCACTGCGCCACGGAGCCCTCAACTTTTATTCTGGCTACATCAATGAAAAATTCATGCACGGATGCTTGATGACATAAATAGGTAAGAGGGTGCCTGCCCAGACGGATTTCTAGGCAGGCAGGAGTCCTACCACCGACGTATTTTAATTTAAATATAACACCATACTTTTGAAGTAAGCATTGTACAGGTTTCGCTGATTTTTGTCACTATAACAAGGATTTAGATTATGTTCACTACTAAAATGTATCCTGCACATTTAACGAGTATCTTTTCTTAAAGCCTTTCATTTACCAAACTGTCTCAGACTACATGTATAAGAAATAATTTTTATTCAGAAGAAAATCAACCATACTGAAAAGCCGTCAAATCAGGTAACACTAGGGTAGTTTGACAGATTCTTTTCTGCTCCAAAAACCTCTCAGAAATAAGCGGATGTCTGTGTCCATTTCGGAACGTATAAGGCGTTCCTTATTTACCTCAAGAGCCTAGCTCTTTTTTTTTCTTCACCACCGAGTACCTGGTAAATCAAATTTTAGATGTACTATTAAAGATTTTGTTGGTTTTAGCGATTTTCGAACTTAGGTCCTTCGCGTACCTAATTACTAATAATCTTGTGTTTACTACGTCTGCAGATTTTTTTTATAAATCATCCTGCTCCCGAATATAAAACATGACTGAACTGAACTGAATTCCTATTAAATAATACTTTTATATTGCATTATGCATAAACTACTTAGAAATTTCTTACTACTACTTATCATCCCGTGGGTGTCGTAAGAGGCGACAAAGGGAAACAATTCAGGAGATAGCGACTGCGCCTTCCTAGTACGACTAATAATAAAAAAAAACTGCGGTTGCCAACCCCCTTGTCAAGCGTGGCAACTATGGCAAATATGGACCCCTATGAAGAAAT